TCGTAACCCGAAAAATTCGCAAGCAGAGGCGTTCGTATCCCGAGGTATCACTGTATTTCCTCCTAAACTAAAGAAATATCTGGTTCATCCAATAATTTTCTAAAACTTTGCTCTAATTCCACCCTGGTGAAGGAGTGGAAAAGAAGAAAAACAACTATGAAACCTTGGCAGTTCCACTGCCAAGTGAGGTCTCAGACTGGGGAGATGAGACCAGGGACTGAGGCTCTGCTGTTTGGGCTGGTAATGGAGAGATTTAGCACGTGTCCCTAACATGTACAGGGCAAGCCTTATTGCAATGCAGCACCCAGAACCAACCATAGATTATCATTAGTATGCTTTCAGTTTTCATGGCACTCCAGCTGCACGACTCTCCATAGAACAATTATCACAGCAACAGAACACTGCATTAAAAAAAAAAAAGTACAGATCCAGCAACTGTTAAGAACTGCTCCTCTCTCACAAACTAAAAAGAAAAGTAAAGTGGGGGCGGGGGGGAGATGATGTTTGGTTGATGAAATCTGTATTTAACAGTTGTTTGGGTTTGGATTATCCAGAGAAATAATGTGCAAATCTTCCCCCTACTGCAGAAGAGTTACATGCATCATTTTCTCTCTGTTACACCCCTCAAGATAGTTGAGAAGGAGATGGGATTTAACCCCACAATTTCACTCCTTGGATTCATGTTATATTGCTATTTTTATTCCCAATATTTATAGATATTGGAGCAAAGGATCCTGAATAAGGGCTGTTGTTTTTGTAGTAGTGGGGAAATAGATCTGTTCTTCACTGCTGATGAAGTGGGTAGTAGAGAAAAATATTTGAGGTTCTCTCAAACAGCCCAGAGAGAGAGAGCAGGCTGTTAAGCTGTGGGTTGTCCATGTGTGATCTAGAATTTAAATAGCACAGGTTCTAATTAGAGCTCAGGAAAATGAATTCATATTCTAAAATAGTGGCCTCGACCTAGAAAAGTATGACAATGTTGAAACTAGGGAATGCTTTAATTACAATTCACATGGAAGAGTCCCAGTGGTTTAGAGCTAGGTAAGGCAGGCAGATGATTTGGCTACCTTCACAAGATATATATGGCTCAGATGTTTTTGGTAGCTTAGCACAACTTTAATTCCACACACAGGCCTCCACTTAAACGTGCACTCCATCAAATATACAGGTATGCAAGATATCATGATTCAGCCCACATTTAGCAGAGGAAGATAAATGGAAGGCAACAGATGAGAAGCAGGACAAAGCATGTACTGTGTAACATTTTGTTTAACAGGCTATAATTCAACATATTTATTTCATTATTATTTTCCTGGTATAAACAACTAGGGAAAATTTAGAGCAACCAAGCAATAAATCAAGAGAAAAGACAGTGAAATTCAATAAATTCAAGGTAATACTGATTGAGAAGATGTAGCACTGTGTCTTAAATTAACAGTAACCTCTTGTGGAAGAGGGTGAGCATTATCATGAAAAATCCAATGGATTTCTTCACTAAAGCACAGGAGATGGAAGAAAAAGCAGAAGGCTAATCCAAGCATATGTAATAATAAATGTTACAGTGTGACTATATAGACCAGTGTGGCTATATCACCAAGCAAAAATACAAAGTTCAGTCCTTTTATTTGCTCTAGGGATCTTGCACTAATAAACAGAATATCTAATTATCTGGGCTGATGATAGAGGACTGCCCATGAAGATACATCATAGCTGCTGGAGAAAGAAGAGGTGTGACTGTTACAAATGAGCAATGCAAGCTTGTCGGATCCCTTTCTAGGACTGCTGTCCTCCTGCCCCTTTCTCTGGGTTCCTGGTGCCTGCCCTAGGTGAAATGGTTCTACCCAGACAGATAGTGACATGGCCTCCCCTGCTCTTGAAGGAGAAATGCCACTCCCACCCCTGAATTTGGATGGAGCAGAAGATCTTTGCTAGGACCAAACATAAGTAAATGGTTCCTGTTTTCCCTCTTAACCAGAGTTAGCAGGTGTTTTAGTCTGTGGTGCTAGTATGAGCAATAGAACTAGAGGTTATTATTTTGCTTTACTGAAATAACAAAAAAAGGAAAGGATTTTTATTTTAACAAAGGCAACAAAATAAGGAGAAAATAGGTTAACTGCACTAGCTTCCTTGAGGGATATATCTACATTTCAAAGCTAGCATTCAGTGAGCTGCAAACAAACTGAACGAAAAGACAGCGGGACCATGAACGAAAGACTACACAACTGAGCAAAAGTAGCGCCCTAAAGAAGCAGCCGAGACTGACTAGGGACAACAAGTACTAAATCTCCCCCGCCCCCCCACCTCTCATTAGAAAAGCACATGGCTTTTAATATCCAAGTAGTCCCCAGTTTAAGAATGAGTTCCATTCCCAAGGTCTGTCCTTAAGTCCAATTTGTACATAAGCCGGAACAGTATCATTATATAATACTGTATATTATATAATACTGTATAAGTAGTATTGTGCGATTAACTTGAACCATCGTGTATTTACCTTGAATAATGGTTATTTAACTCAAATTTTGCTACAATAAGCTCTGTTCTTAACTATGGGTCATCTATAAACTGGGCATTCTTAACCCGGGGACTACCTGTATTTAGAGTCACCCCCTAGCCTGCAGGCCCCCAGATTGATTATAACCACCATCAAATTGAAAGCACATCCTGATGTAGCAACTTTCCCCAATATAAATAAATTAAATGAAGCCACAGAAAGTTTTGCAATAGCAGCACTTTTTTTAAAAAAAAGCTTTCTTCTGTAAATTGTATTGGTTGTGTTCTAGTAAAGGAAGAGCTCTCCTTACTAATTTTACAGAGACACAGTTAATAGGGACTATATTGATTCATTATCTCCATGTTGTTTTTCTTGTCACCTCTTAACAGTTTCACCTCACCCATTTCTCAGATTTCAGATATATATATATACATACATACATATACATATACATATTGGGGGGGTTGTATCAGTTCATTTTCTACTTCTCTGTCATGACTGTTCTGAAAAACTGTGGATCAGCTCAACCTCTTTTTTTGGATAATCTATGCAAGCTGGGATCACAGTGTGAAGCTATAATCAAATTGTTAAATGCATCTCTAATTGATGCTAATCCTGCTGTGGGAAGTTATCTAATATTTATTACATTTCTGTACCACTTCGAAACGGTGGTCTCTAAGCAGATGATCCCATGGAACTTGTGTCATATTACTAAAGTGACATGGAACAGAAGAATAAGGGAGTCATTGTCTTCAGCAACATCTGTGCCATTGTGATGATAAAGGAACTGGCCCTCTGTAACTGTGGGGCTATGGGTACAGCCCTTGATTCCCATGCGATAATTTAAATGTTAGGAAAACACTGCCAGGAAAGGAAAGAAATGCCTGGAAGGGCATCAGAAACAGCCAGACATTGCAATCACTTTATATGAGCTGGAATGGAAGGATTATGATAGTTAAGGATCTGGATTTTATAAAGAGAGAATAAGAGGGACAAGCAGAGGTCTGAAAAATAATGAATATCATAACCAGAACAAACTGAGTATTCCAACATTTTGCTGATATGAGTATGAGGAGGCCCAATTAACTGCAGTAGAAGCAAATATGTACCGAGTAGCAAAAGGTATCTCCGCACCATGTCATTAACCTGTGGAGGAGACAGGCACTTATTAAAATTCAAGCTGGTTTGCACATATATAAAAACAATACAAGAAAGAAATGCCGAAAGTCCTCTCTCGTTTATCTGACTCCTCTTTTCCTCTGTTCACCTTTTGTTTTACCACTGATTAGAACAATTGCAGTGGGCACACTTCACTGATATAAATGACTGGTATTAGGCTTGGATTTGTCACACTAATTTGATTGCCTGCAAGTAGGACCTGAGGACAACAGCCTTCTCCCCCTGCTATTCCGCGACATGCTACCGCCCCATAGCCACCACGACTAGTAGCCACTGACAGCTGTATCCTCCATAAAGAATTTGTCCATTCTCCCTTAAAGCAATCTAAATTCATGACAACCATGACAAACTTAATTCAATAGTTTAACTCTATGCTGTGTGAAGATGTATCTGTCCTACCAAATCCCGCTTCTTTAGATGATCCCACTTTTAAAACAGTGAGGGAAAGAGATCAGTTTCCTAGTCAGCTTCTGTCAGCTCTTTGAGATAGCCTAGGTCAGGAAACAGACATTGCAAGGATTACAAGAATGCTATTTTATTGTTGTAGGACAG